CTACCGCAGTACCGACGCGTAGCGGAGTGTTTTATATGTGATAAAACACGACTACAAGTGCTTTAAATAGCTTCAAAAACGACTCATCTTATACGAGTTCATTGGCGAAGTAATTTTTAAAATAAACTTCGTCTAAACCGAGAAAATCAAAGCTAAAGTTTATGTAAATTAACGTGATTTTTTATCACATATAAAACCACGACACGCTTATGATTTTTCTTTGTGTTTTGCTCCTGAATTATTAATGACTTTTTGAAGCTTGAAGAACATTTCATTTACAGTTAACTATAATCCATTTCTTGAAAATAATGAAGCTTTTGCTGAATCATGCGCCGTGATTTATTTAAGTGCATTCTTAATCAATTTAAATAATTATTTAAACTCGTTTTCGTTCGGGAGTATTCGAAGGTGTGCGGGTCCATATATACGCCACTGTGAATAGTACAACGAATGAGAGATAACACATAAATACAATGTCCTTCCCTCTCCAAAACTCGGAAGCCGACAAATTAAGGGGCAAGATTTTGGTCGATTTTTCGTTCTCGAATTGTTTAATTTCCTAAACTAAACAAATTTTCAAAAAGTACTACAATCTTTTCAAAATACAGTCTGCAATCCGGATCGTTTATAACCTGAAGTTCAGGCCCTAATTTGAAATAGGGCCTGACACAAAACCTATCTAAACCGTGGGACGCCCAATCATACAATATGATTGACACTGTGACTGTTATGTCAATAGATTTCATTACACGAAAAATGTCAGAGGGAAAATATAAAGATATGTAATTTCATTTCATGTTATATTCTCATGAACATGTCCGCAGAGTGTGCATTTTAAACTTAAAAATCCAAGGTACTTTTAGGAGTTCAGTTTCTCCATTTAGCAAACAAAGATTTAGTCTGTTCTGTGCAACAGTGCAAGGACTGAATTCAACTTCAACTTTATTTAAACACGGTACTATTTCACAGTATATTAAAATATATGCAAATAGTTTTGTTCTCTGCGATCTACTTTCCGCAATTGGAATTAAAGTGCGTCAAGAAAATACGCTAAAATCATTTGTTTCATCATTAAACGAGGGATCTAAACAAACGGCTTGACTGCCAAGCTTTCTCAGGGTCTCAACTTGCTGGACGCGGATATACAATTTCTAACGGGATAACAACAGCAATAACGAAATTCTTTATCGTACCATGACGAAGGCGATATGGCTCAGAAAACAACGCCGGTAAGACCTGATAAATAAGACTTTCACCGAAGCCAGTTGGCAGAACGGCAAAGACATCTTGGGCCTTGGCTGTCAACAACAAGCTTTCGAATGCACGACTTTTGCTGTTCTTTAAGCGTCGTGTGTCCAAACTTCGTCAAAGATTTTGATAAAGCCCTTTCAAAATACTGTGTGTTTGATTTATTTTCTGCCATAAAGCATATTAAACAAAAGAAATTCGAAGAAATTCGACAATACTATTACGATAATCACAATGCAATTTGATACATGCGTTTGACCTTGCCACATTGACCTAGCAATTTACAAAATATTGTTTATGTGAACTTCCAACCAATCAAAATCTTTCATGATGCTGATCAACCAATCAGATTTCCCGTTCACCAGATGGACGGGAATCCCACGGTTTAGATAGGTTTTGTGTCAGGCCCTATTCTGTGATTAGGGCCTGAACTTCAGGTTAGGAAATACCAAGCATCTTCTCTTTTTATCACCTGGAATACGTTTATCGCCGCGTTTTATTAAAACGCGGATGCGGATTGATGGCAACGGACGGGCGAATGACTTATCTCTTCTCGTTTTTAAAACGTCATTTAACAGTTATCCGCGTTTTATCCAAGAGGATAAAATGCGGATATGGTCCAAGAAACGTTTTCATTCTTCTACAAGTCAACTTAGTCAACTTCAATTTAAACAAGTCAAATAAAGGCACGAAAAAGGTTTTTGAACCATATCCGCGTTTTATCCTAGCCCGATTACCGCCGCAAGGGTTCATGTTAGGCTTTTGTTGGTTTTACACTTGAATATAAGTCCGAGTTTCCTTCCAATCCTGCCTAAAGAAAGCTATGGCCATGTATGGTTGCAAATATTAGACGTGGGTTGTCATCTCGACGTATGCATTACTGCCTTAGATAATTTTACATACATCACACTCTTTCACCATAAATCTTATCTTACTTTGTTGATGTATACATAGCAGTATTCTTAGCTATTAACTCCAAGTAATTATTTGTAGGATATCAACAGAGTATCAGAGTTAGCATATTCCAACAAAACGACATTTTATTCGAACTTTTCCCCAGTTATCTTTTGCCAAAGTTATTTTAGGCTTTGTACGTTATGTAAGGGGTTATATATATATGAGGAGCGCTGTAGTGTGTCACAATGACAATGTATCAGTAAAAAGCTGCACAAATTAAAATTGGGCATTGGATTATTTAAAGATTGAAATCGCCAAAGGGACATTTTATACGACTAATACGAGATTTTATAATACAAAGTATAAACAAAGACAGAAGAAAAGGCTATGTGAGAAAGACTGTACCGTTAATTGTACATATATCTACAAAAATTGTGAGTGATATCTTGAATCATCAGTTCAATTTAGCGGTACAAATAACAAAATCCTGATCGTGAATGAGTGTGTTGTAGTTGTTCAATGTAAGACTCCACGACCACGAGAGTAACGAGTCTCCATACCGTACATAATATATTTATAAATATATAGTATATTATTTATAAAATATAAATTAACACTTTATTGATTTTATATCAATTTCATCAAAGGCTCTTATATATTGTCTGTCATCGCACAGCCGCACTCATTATTACGACGCAAAACTTCGGTTTCCTCTGCGATTCAGGATTAAAAACTCACTTCCTGAAGCATTCATGTTATATATTTCTTTCCAAATTGATATGAGCTACCATTATTGATATAGAAGGTAGTGAAGGTTCCAGTAAAGAGGCCTGAATTGGCAATACTTGTTCTCGTGAAATGTGAAATGATGGATATTCTTGTGTCGTGAAACGTGATTTCAAAAACTCATTAATAATTCATGAGGAAAACACAAAGAAAAATCATAAGCGTGTCGTATCCATAGATATCTTATATACAATAGATAGCGCATCTCTTTTATTAAAATTGAAGCCAAGAATATTCCAGCGGTTACCCCCATTTGAATAGATGGCGGCCATACTTGTCGTTCCCACTTGCTAATAAACGCTTAAAAACAACAATAACTTGCATCATTTGAATAGTTTAAAAACGTATTAGGAATAGGGTTAACTTAATGGTTAAGTTCCCTGTTTAAGAAATAGAAAACATACGAATCTTCTCATTTAATGGGAACGACCTGAGACTGCAATCACGGCATCTAATTATTCTGCATTTCAAATATTGAAGCACTATCTAGTGTATATAAGATATCTATGGTCGTATCTTTATATGTGATAGAGATTTCCCTTGATTTACATAAACTTTAACTTTGATTTTCTCGACTTACACAACGTATTTTTAGAAAATTACTTCGCCAATGAACTTACTACTAAATCGATCGTTTTTGAAGCAATTTAAAACATTCGCAGTGCGTGTTTTATTAGACCCAAAGATACGTACTCGGCTTCGCCTCGAAACTATGTCTGATAAAACACTGCTTCTCATGTTTTAAGTAGTACTTAAAATAATCATTAAAAATTCATAAACCTTGTGGCAAATCATGTCAGCCATAACATGTCACGTGCAGGATATCTGATAAAACTCATCCTAATTAGTATTCTTTTGTAGTCGTATGTTAAGCCATTTAAAGCACACTCACATTCCATTTCATTGATACCATCACCAATGAAATTAATCCAACATTAATACATCCTGTAACCACCAATGAAATGGGATCATCGTCAAGCGAGAAACCAATCAGACGCTCTCCTGACGTATACAAGAACTCAAAGAACGGCGCGAAGATTAAAACTCATTAATTGTAAAATAATTCTGATGAAGGCTCGAAGTACCGAGTCGAAAGCTCAATAAAAATTTATTATCAATCCGGAGAACTTTCACAAATCATAATATGCCTGGATTACAAATATCTAGCTTTATTGCTAAGAAAATACTTGTGCAGCATGAGTATATGTATATACATGTATATATTGGCAAAAAATTTCCCACTTACCACTATATGTTCTATATGTAGACAGGTGCTACAATATTTTCAATTCTTTTTCTACACCCCCTCCCCCCCACAGGACTAAAAAAAGCAAGTACTCCCATAGGACAAGACGATCCCCCCTTCAATTTTTCCCACCCTTCAATTTTTCCCACCCTACCCTAGGGTATAAATAGTGGACGGTCCCTTATAAAACGATCCATCTTATGAGTTTATTGGCGAAGTAATTTTAAAAATAAACATTGTCTAAAGGCGGATTTCCAGTCCTCCCACGAAGCTCCTCGCTGCGAGAGCATGCATGAGCAATTTTATCCAATCACAATGCTAAACAGTTAATTTTAATTAGATGCAAGCATTCGCAGCGAGCTGCGAGGAGCTTCGTGCGAGGACTGGAAAACCGCCTTAAGCCGAGAAAATCAAAGCTGAAGTTTGTGTAAATCAGGACAAATCTTATGCGGTTTACAATCATTGATTGGACATTCATTTCTTTTGAATTTTCTTTATGAATTATTAATGAGTTTTATATACACTCACCCAAATGAGTAAAATCGTCTGGCGTTAAACAGAGTAAATTAATCTGGCATTAGACAGAATAATAAAAAAATAATAAAGTGGGCACTTGTTTAGTGGTTTTGAATTAACCATTAAGTTCAAAATACTATTTAAAGCACGCGTAGGAGTGTTTTATCACATATAAAACACGACGCGTAGCGGAGTGTTTTATATGTGATAAAACACGACTACAAGTGCTTT